GAAGAGATTTAGCTAGTTAAGTTTTTTACTATCTAATATTTATTGTTGTTATTAGATTTTTGTGATACCGTAACAAATGTTGATCGTTACTTTATGATTAGTATTTAAATATGTCTAAATATGATCAAATAAACAAGTTCTAACGTACATTTATTTCATCACTTTTACATACATACCTCAAAAGATCCAATCACGCAATGTTTTCCAGTCTAACGTTATAATTAAGGGGAGGGTAAAAATACGGGTTTCAACCCCTCCGCTCCGTGCGAAATCTCATTAAAGCGAAAGATGGTTTTGATCTGTCACGCACAACGTTCCGTACATAGCGATAAAGGGTTAAGGGGTGTAACACACCCCGTGTTGGGGGTGAATGACACAATGAAGGATGAAACGACATAAAATACACCGGCCACTTTTATGAGATGTCGTGCCAAGTAAAATGTGTTTATTTGAAACTGTTGTAGACCAAGGTCGTTAGTCGAAAGATTCCTGTGAAATGCAGCCAAGTAAATTTCTTTATATTTCAGTCGTAAATTGTTAAGATTATAGTCACTCAGTGAAAGGGGTCAAGATAATATTGATGCTGTTGAAACTGCAATAAAATTAAGATGATCTTCTGGTATTCCGACGACATTAATATTAAATGTTCACTAGGTTTTTCATAACAACATCATACGAAACATTCTGCCCGCTATGTCGTGAAAAACTGTCGATTGTTTAATACGATTCAAATTTTAAACTACACTAATGCCGCGGGGAACCTAGCGGGTTACCAGGGCTCTGGCTCGAAGTGCAGGAGTAAGAACGGGGTGGTTTTTAGTCAGTAAGAGCCTGACACTCCCTCCCGCCTCACCCAGACGGGTGAAGTCATTCGCTGAAGATCCCCCCTTAAAAAAAACTACATTAATGTTTCCATACACAAATATCCATTATCCAGTAACAAGATAAGACTAAACAGAACAGTAGGTAAGCTCCTGCTCCTTACAAAAGATAAGATAGCCAAAAAGCATTAATGATTCAACAAGACTGAGATACTCTTCCGCATTGTTTCATAAAAGCTTCGAATGTAACATAGAAATAGAAATGTCAACAAAAATGTGGGCCCGTTTTCTAATACTTTCTAGGGTTCTGTTTACATACCAATATCGTTCAACAGCATCATCTGCCTTCAATACAATACCTAATTGTTTCCAATCGATCATTCTTATCTCAATTTGTCACAAAATGATTGATCCTTTATTTTGAGAGTGATATCTCATAGTACTTCCATCCTACCCACATAACGTAAAGAGGTTACAAATGTATATTACGCTGACGTCATCTATTTACTAAATTGGCACAGCACCATCGTAAATAAGTCGCAATACTCATAACAATATTCAATTGTGAGTTTTATCATCGATGTATTCGCTCGACGGTTTTTAAACATGACGCGATATACAATCAAACATTACCATGGAACTTTGCCAAAATATTTGAGGGAAAATTCTATGAAAAAACACGAAGCATTTATTTCTTCATAGAGTGTGTAAACGAAGTGATCTATAAAGCTATGAATAGACGGGCGTGGGTGGACTCTAATAGCTCCTAATACAGATTACTACTGCCCAGTCCATCGGGACCACCCATGAAGGTAGGAACACGTTCCATCACCTCCATGGCTCCATCCCATTTTTATAACAAAATTTGAGAGCAAACAAGTGCTCAAAGTAAACAGTATAATTAAACATCGTCGTTTACCTACTAGGTAAAGATTAAACAAACGACATTATAGTCGTTGATGAATCATTAATTAGGGGTTTTCCCACATAATTATATATTTATATACATAAATTTGTATTAGAACTAGAGGTCAGAATTTTTGTACTTTTTGACATTGGTGAATTATTTATTAATGTTATTTGACATTAAATAATGATAATTACCTACTGGCAAGAAGTGGTTGTAACAATGAGCTATAACCATTTAATTACCGAAAAACTTCGTGAAGCATGATGAAATAAAACTTAAATAAAACAAAATGGACTCATCACAGTCGCTATTAAAATTGCATCTCACGTCTCTATGTCGAAATACTTTAATTTATCCTGCCGCGAAACACTTAAGTCTATTAGCATAGAGTAAGAAGTGTAATGCAAAGTATGCATTTCTTGTGCAAGCTCAGGCGCGGGCCCATGGCCTAGTTTGCAAGTCGCATTGCGTAGGTCAGTCATGTATCGTGCGACCACGCTTTCTCTTTAATGCACCATTTCACTTTCACTCGCCGATCAACATTTAAATGTCATTTTTTAGAACATATTAATCCGTAATGCAACAACGCAATTTCTTACCATATCTCTTTAATCGTGCGGAAGTAAGATGTTAAAATATAATTGAATAAGCAACTGACGGAAATATGTTTCATGCAGCAAAAATGCTAAGAGCCGCAATTAGTGCGTTCTTAATTATTTTTATTCGCAAAACTGCCACGCGGTATTGTGCAAATTGGATGAAGATAATGATCATTAACGTTCGTTACGATAAATAAATCATTTATAAGATAATTTTGTGTTACACTAGCTGTCCAATCAACATTTCGATCGGCCTGTCAATCGTAGGAGTACAATCGTATGATTAAAGTGTGATGTAACTCATAACGTACAAAGAGAGACCAAGAGTCAATACTAAAGTGAACCAAATGACTCATAACTTTCTCCGGCGCCCGCTCAGCTTGACTGCCAATGCAAAGTTTTAATTAACGTTTTAAAAACTTTCTATTCATACACAAAAGTTTCAGCGAATGTTGATTGTTTGAGTTTAAATGTAATTCTTGAGTTTGATCGCTTTGATTACAGATTGTTACTTTAGTTAGATGATTGTTGTTTATTATTTTGTTACTGCAACAAGAACTGTGTTGCAATAGCTAGGTATTTGCACGTCATGATTGTTTGCTCGTAGGAAATCGACTTTTCCTAGAAAACAATGCATTCATAATAATGTTTCAAGTGCGTATGTGTAAGCAATAAAGGTTTTCCGACCGAGAAACGCCTATGATAAACAAACTTAGTATAGGTATTCAAACCGTCAAACCGACCCACACTGAGCCAACACTGTTTCTCGATCCATATAAACAGGTTGTTTGTCAATTTCCCGATGACGCAGCGCGTTGTCAAAGCATAGCTCGCTTGTGCACATAAACAGTTCAGTCGCGACCGCCGACTGCAGGGTGGAGCCTCCCAAAGAGGGAGAACAACCCAACCTCCCTCTCTGCCCCATTTTTCACGAGTACTTAGCATGTCGTGGCCGGCTCCCCCATCCCTAGCCTCCCCGAGTTTCGCATGTTTATACCATAAATTTTTGTTATGACAACACGCGGTCAGCTGAGCCATACATTTATTCAGTACGCGTATGAACATAATAAAAGACATTTTGTTTTGATTGCACAATAACTTTACATAATTAACTACTTTTGAATTTACTTTCTCAACCGTTATTACAATTATTTCAGGATTTATTCGAGTTTTTCCTCAGTGGACTCTGTCATTAATTAAAAATACAAGCTCGTCTGAGTCTTTTTGGCAGCCTGTCTGCTCTACCCGGTGTTTTATTAAATCTCGTGTTTCACTTCTTGACATCGTGATTTATTGAGTTCTTTGCTTCTTTTATTAATCTTCGGTCTACAAAACAAAATTACTATTAATAATTCTCGAAGATTGGAAGTAATCCTCTTTTCATGGTCCTAGGGCTGTATAGATACAGGGAAGGCGAGCGTTGCTGTTAAAGATTTAGTTGGTGATTACTGGGTATCAATCAATATTAATGCATAACAGTGAACGGCTTATTCCGTTCTGTCAGCGCAATAACCGCTGTCGAGGTGCGCCGCTGACTCGGCAGTCCTAGTCGCGAGGTCTTGCCGACTCGGGCGTGAGTCAGCACGAGCCGACACGAAACGCCATGAGTCATGACCCGACGTAATTCGGACTGGGATCGCCCGCCGTCAGCCGAAATAAGTGGATTGCTGCTTCACAGCTGAATGATTCCATTTCAAAGGGCGCTCTGATGTCGTTACTTGATGCTTATGTTCCATTAATTTCATCTTGTCGGAGTTTCCACAAAATTGTTCGTTTGATTGTGTGATCTTTCTTTATGTTACGAGGTTAACGCCTTCCGATTGTATTTTTACAAAGAGCGTAGGAAATTGGTATGTGACCTGAATTACATTTCGATGAGAATGCTGAATGTACGCAAATGACTCAACTTGTATGCAAATATTCATATTAATGGAGGTCAAGTCACCACAATTAAAATATTTTCCAGTCGATTAAGAAGTTTAAAATGAAATATTACGCTTGAAACTGTATTTCCTAGCTTATTGGCTTGAAATACGTTAGAAAATATAATATTTAAAATGAATCATCATGAACCTTTAACTATGCATAATGAAGGTCTTTTGAACCACTAAGTTAATTCCAAATGATCGTGCATTAACGTCCTCGGTTCTCCGATCTTATCACAACTAAACACTAATGATAATGATTAATGATGACTTAGTAACGTTTTGCTGCTTGAATGTCAAACGAAGCGGTTTTCAATTAACATCAATGTAACACAAGGCCGTTTGTGATAACTTAAAAGTTTAGAAGTTCATTAAAATATGTATAGGGCGGCCCCCGCATTTATTCAAACATCAAAGGTCTGAAGGGTTTCGAATTAACATTGTGTTTCGAGCACAAAGTCCTTTGTTTACTTTGACTCAAGTTCGTTATTGAAACAGGTCCATATGTCTACTTTACTTTTTGTATAAAATACCGAAATAATTTCAATGTTTTAGTACGTTGAGAAAATGAAACATACTTAAACATCAAATAATAAAACGAAAAAAAAGACAAGAGGATGTAAGATACGGCTCAGATTAACTCGAAACCGTTGTAATACAATCGCGTTTTATTTTTGTATTTTCTGTTTTGAGAACAAGTTTATTTTGAGATTTCGAATCATTAAATTTACTTTTTTATTTCCAGAGAGTTGAGCGCGAGACCACAAAAAGTCCAGCGACTACCGGTGGCAGGAAGAAGTCATCGGCCGTGAGAAGCAACGGGCAAATTGCACCCACAGAGCCACCTCCGCAACCTGCAGGTAAACAAAACTTTTTTTATATCACCTCCGTAACAAATCTCCTTTGTTCATCACATAAACTTGCCAACTCTCAAGAAAGCAATAAAAAGCCAAAATTTATGGCGCCATTACAATGCTATCTATTTTAGCTGTGAATATATTATTCTTGAAGAGGTTACAATAGCTGTCGATGGCCACGTCATAAAAGAATGTTTTTGTAGTGAAAGTTGCTTGATGGATCACCTCCGGTAATACCCACGGGTGTTATCTGAAAGTCAATTATAACTTCATCCTATTAATCAAGAAGAATGTTGGGTAATTTAGAACCATACCAAAACATTGTATAAAAAGCGAATGTGGATGATTGATGAGAGAAAAAATTAAGTGGAAGTAAAAACTACATGAATGCGATAGTAAAAATTGTGCTTTGAACCATAACAAAAATACGTCTCATTCCTTTTAACTGTGTATTGATTGGATGTTTCCCCAACCTACACGAGACATAAGAGGGTATCTTCAGTATCGTCACAATTGACGCAGCGTGCGATGTACCAAAGGGGAGAGTTACAAAAGCTCCCCCGGGAGTTAGCCGGCTGCCCGCTTAATAGGATAGAATTCAGAGCATTCAGGTGTGCTGACTACGGCGGTACCTGTGACCGTTCCATTTGTAATTCCTATTAGATTGAATGCAGCATTCTCTAAAGCTTTCGTTTAAATTGAAATGTATGAAAACATGTTGCAATTCAAGCGAGATAATCGTATGTTTCACTGTCACGTTTCAAAGAGTTTTCAACTAATGAGTTTTGTTAGCATGTGAGTGCATTTTATCACAATATTTTGTTTCATAATCAGAAGAGATGAAGTCAAATTATCTGCTATCCTTTTCACGGTGGAGACAAAGTCAATGTACTTTGCTTTTGAGTTTAATCTTAAACCAAGAACCGTTCGTTTATCTCCTTTTGTTTGGCGTTACATGAAGCAGATTACGGTAAAATACGCGTCTTAATTTCCACCTGAAATATGAGTTCAGATAAGTTTTTGGGTCAGTATAAATTGTGGGTCGTTACTCGGACGTCTTTAGGTACTACATATATACTTATGTGAATGTATAGATAAGAGAGTTTCAAATTTTACGGCTTTTACTCCATACGTTGGCACGACGCCAGTCGACGGCTATAAACGGGTTACTTAAACTTAAATAGTAAATTCTCACACAGCTGGGTTTTGTGCAGTTGCACCTAACTCGTGAAATGTACACTGAATACTGTGCTTCTGAATTTGTTCAAATGCAAATGGAATTGCTTTTTCTATACAAACGTAAATATAATATAATTATACTTTTCTTGGCATAAGAATCTCGATTGTACCTACAATACGATGAATAATATTAAACGCAAAACAAAAAGAGTGAGATTTTTTATGATACGAGATAGTTTCCGACAAAGCAGTAAAAATATTTAACGGTCATTTGTTTTCGTTCTTTATTCAAAACGTAAACGATATGTATCACCGACAATTTCAAATATCGTTTGTATAAATATTAATCATTTCAATTTATGGTGAGTATAAGTACATGTTTTTCTCAACGAATAAAAATAGATGTGTAATAAATAAGTCTGTGTTGCTATAGTAATAAATATAAGATGTACATTTTCCCCAAACATCCCCTTAATGGATCGCGCCTCGCCTTTGACTGCACCTAAGATGGATTGCGGCCATTTGCAATAGAGTGATACACTTATCAATACGTAGATTTATATATTCTAGGTCTTTGTTACATTATTCTCGATTGAATCTCTTAATCTTAGTAGTCTTTGGAAACAGATCATCACAACAAAAGCATCCTTACTAATAATATTATAAATTGGAAAGTGAGTTTGTTTGTTTGTTCCGATTTCACGCCGTAACTACTAAACCGATTGTTTTGAATTAAATAATAGGGTACTTTTTATCCCGGAAAAAATTTGATATTCTCGAGGGAAAACGAAATTTATGGTTTAAATGGCGCTGTTTGTATTGATATATGGCACATAGGCTACTTTTTATCCTTTTGTGACGCGAGCGAAGCCGCGGGTAAAAGCTAGTATTTTATAATGCGAAATTCTTTACTGTGTGAATTGTCTGTATTCAATTATCTTTTGTTTCCTACGACTGTGTGAACTGAGATCTTTGAATGTTTTGTCTCTTGTCTCGTTACTCTAAAGTGTAAGCACAGCTATGTGAAGTTTTGTATGAAATCTTGGATGCAACTAAAATGTAGACGATGTTCTGTTTACTAAATTACGTAAACTTGAGAATAAATTGATATTCCATTATTGCAGGTTAATTCAGTCACCTTTTTATATTTATAGACAAAGTGAAAAATAAAATAACGAATACATAAAGAACAAGAAACAATACAATAATAAATAAATCATAGTCTGTTACTACAATAAATAATGTATATTTTTTAAAATTGAAATAGGTTAGATATTCAAGTTATTTTTATGTTATTCCTTTACTTATAAAGGCAGCTAAAAAGAAGGTTATCTATGTAGACTTTACATAGGTATTATATCGTTCCTATAATCCGAGCCAAAGCCGAATTCAAGTCCCACAGCCTACGGTTTTAGCCAAACGAACTCGACCACTTTGGGATACAAACGTCCCATTTATACCTCTGAATACGCTCCGGATCCAGTTTCAACTAAATTTCAGCGAGAATTGGGATTTCTGTGTGAGCTTCGCATACGATTTAATTCCAAGCAGCAAATTACCTAGGACGCTGTCTAGGTAAAATGTATTTGTTTAACCAGAGTATAGAGATAAATTATTGTTTCCTTTGTTTAATTACCTATCCATTTAATCTAAACGAGTAAAAACCCAACACAGCTCAGGAATCTTTTTGTTCCTTTTTTAAAACTTTCCAATACATTTTTCATCTTAATGTTTGACTTCAAAAAAGGAATAAGTTCGAAAGAAAATTAAATAGGGAACCTGAAGCTTAGAAATTCCCCTTTGTATGTCCAGTGATATGGGATGTTATCCTTTGAGTAAAATAATATGTCTGCGATAAAGGGAGATAAAAACGTGCTTTCATTTCGTGCTCGGGGTGCGAGTGACAGTGGCGTGACGTCACAGAATGGCCGCCTGCCCCGGGCCAACAGCGGGGATGATACATGTGATACATACATGTGTCATATAAATCAGAGAACTGTGTTGTGTAATTATTTTATGTGCTCGCTTTGACACTAACTCTGACCCGATAGAAATGGGATCTTGATACGTATATATCGTCTCGCCTTTACCTCCTAAACAAACCTTGAGTTTTGGTTTGTAATACAAATAAGTGTATTTCTTATGCTGTGTATTTCCAGTTATTCATATAGAAGCACATTTGAGAGCAAATCTGTATTCAATTTATTCGTCGAAGGACCGTTTGACCTGTCTTTAAAAATCACATACATATTAAAGACTTATTTTGAGAATGAAAGAGTCTTTTTGATTATTCCTTGAATAATTCAAAGTACGTTTATATTAAATTTCGTCGCCTTTGGGCCAACGTATATTATATTTACATAATAAAGAGTTGAGATCTAATAACGTAGGCTGAGAGTGGCTTCTTCGGTTTTCATTATTCTGCGTAGACACACTACGTTTGTGATTTCAAAAACCTTATTTAATACCAGCTGACATTTTTGCCTTGTGAAAGTAATGAAGTGTATCCTAAGTGGAATAATAAAAGTAATAGACGAAAGGGTTTGTGGCTTATTTACCTTACAAAACAAACGACATAAAATAAAAACTTCGTTTAAAAAACCGATTTCAAAAAACTACAAACTAATAACAAACAAAAAGTCAAAACTAAAAAGCAAAAATAACTATTATTAGTACTGTACTATTATAGGTGTCTTAGAAGTCGGCGCCATAAGTTTTATACAAAATTATTCATTAAAACCTTAATAGATACCTAATTTACAATTTTGTGGCCATTAAGTTATATCATTATGATATGAGCTTATGGCACCGACTTCTAACATATCAGTGGGTGGGTAACCTATCAGTAGATGGCGGAGTACCTAATTGGCGAACAAACAAACAAAAAAAAACAATCAGCCGAACATAGTACCTCCTCCTTTTTTGAAGTCGGTAAAAATACCATCGGAATAACCGCAGACTTCTAGACATTGTCAACCGAAAATACTTCTAATGGCTTACTACATCAACATGGAAGGTCCTTGAGTACATCTGCACTATACATAAACTAATTTGAAGTTCCTATTCAGTGTTCGTCAATTCCTTAATGATGCGTTTACATAAAACCATAGCAAAGTTATTGTTTACTTGCTAGTCGGCAAGTTTAGTGTTAGCACTCCATTGTATTTATATGCTTGTGTTCACGTAACTAACTTTATATTGGTCTAGAGTTGGGAACAGCCAGGGCTTCGAGCAAATATTGCTCGGATCGCTGGAACTTTGTTCACATTGTTGTTCATCGTTCCAACTTCACAAGTTCGGTCACTTTCGTTCAGTGTTCGCGACCTGCCCCATCGGCCACTGGGACCAACTTTTCAATGTGAAACTAGTTAAGTTTCCAAGGTTGGTAGCGCCTTGTTTCTTACTCGGAACCGTTCAGTAAACAATACCTAACGCTTTACATAATTGAGAATGTTTTGTTGTTTTGCTTATATGGAAAAACGTTGTTATACGTTTGGTGTGGCAGTCACGTTTCTAAGCCGTATTCGGGAAAATTTGGAGATATTTTTGTGTCTAATATTTTTGTAGTCAATACGATACGACGCTACTACTTTTTATTTCCGAATATGTTCTTGTAATGTTGTTCGTTTCTACGTGGTTTTCAAGGCAATATGGCAAAACAACGAAGGCTTTTTTATGAAGTGTTTTATCATGCAAATGGATATTATGCCGTACTGGCACATTGATCTAATAGTCACGAAGTGCTGAAACAGATTGGAAATTGCTGTTGCTGAAGTATTTTTTATTTCTCACCATCAGCAGTGGCATTTATTTCACAATCCATAATAACAAGCTCGTCCCAGTTCATGGGCGTAATAAAATTACTGGAGAAAAGTGGAAGTAATCCTAAGAGACTAGTCCTTCGGGGAAAAACAGTATCGATATTACATTCTCTGAAATAACATCAATAAGCATTACGGTTTATTAGAAAAAGGTAAACAACCTTCTTGCGACGAGAATAAAATATCAACGTTAAATTAGTTTAAACTTGAGCTCAATCGTTTAACTCTGCTTTGATAGTACATTATGTTCAATTTATTAACCAAACAATCGGTCTACATAACTCTGACGATAGCGGCATTGAACTATCAACCGTATCTTCAAATACACATGCGGTGTTGTGTATTCACAAAGCGACGGTGGAAGCGACAGTCCTTTGTGTCAGTTAACGGAATTCGGATATTGGATAAGCTTCCGCGGTGCGGGGCTGTTTGTTTACCTAACAATTTGATTTTAATTGGTTTCCCAGCACTGCGCGTCGTGTCGGTCGCACGTCGCCTCGCCACCGCGTCGCGTCGCGTCGCGTCGCGTCGCTCGTGCGTTTAAAACCCGTACACTCAATTATCGTATTGTAATCATAGTTCGTGTTTATGTTGCTAATTGATGTTTGGGTGGCCTTGTTTATTAAACTAGGTTTCAATTTGCTACGGAAATGTTCTACTGGTATTTGAAATTAACAAATGACGGGATAATAAACAAGCAAGTACATTGAACTGATATAATGACTCGTAACAAGATTGCGATCGAACACGCCGTGTAATTCAACTAATTGTACGCCTGTCTTAGATATTTGTCAGCGATAATTCAATGTGTAGATTAATAATGTACATTAGTTTAACCTAATGTCATGTCACGTCTGTTACGAGTCCTTTAATATTACGTAACGATGTTTGACAAGCGTGTCGCGTCATACCAATTTGCACATTTCAAGCGTATGAACCCCTTCTTTTGAAGTACATTAACATATTCATGCTAATATTCCTAGAAAGCTACGGTCAGAATTTTGTGAAATTATTTTGTTCTCAACTCAGACACTCAACATGACAGATTAATCGCCACTCGGTCCTCTTTAGGTAACTAAATGTCTTGTTCGCCCCCAATTGAAAGGTCATTCTAAATTGCAAATGAAGACGATAGCTCCGGTGCGATTCGAGCAAATTTTATCTCATTGACAGATTTATACAATCTTGATATTCGGTAACGAAGTAATCTGCATTCCGTTGGCGGAACATCGCAAATTTTGCGTACGCGCCCGTTTGCTCATGTAGTTAGCATAACTTTACATATTCACCTTTAAATGCATCAGACGTGCGCTGAGACTGGGGTACGTTTAGCAAATAACGCGTTCTATATATGTTTAGAGAAAAACCCTGGGATAGAACTCGACGTCCATACAAAACTTTAGCTCAAATAATGAAACTCTAACGTACATTTTCTTTGTTATCAGAATAAAGGAAATTAAATTAAACAAAGAAATTATTTACCGTGGGTTCGCAACCCAAAAACTTGTTTCAACTGTAAAATGATTATGCAATTCCTTGCGGTTACATTCAGACGTTATCATACTAAGTGCAAAACGTTGTATTCAATAATAAAACATCCTCAAGGCAACCCCTTTACATGTGAATATTATACGAGTTTAGGAAACCGGGCATACATTAATACACATTATGTTCCTTTATCATACTTTGCTTCCCCTACTGCCCTTGTAAAGTTAGAATAAAAATAACAATATTAAATTTGCATGCCGACGAAACTGGCTGAGGCACGCGACAACCCCACCTCGGGGCGAATGTCGTGGGCGGGGCGGAATGGGGGCGAACAGGGAAATTGTGACACGTCTAGCGCACGTTTTGTAGGGTGGCGTTAGAAATTCGTGCAGGAATGCAGTGTCACCCTAATCTTTGCTCCATAATAACCCTCACCTGACTATAATGACGCTGAGGTCGAGACAATGGGGTTAAATTATGCAATTTTTGTCTGCACAGACATGTTATTTAGGCTACGGGCTTCATTTACTTGGCAAACCGTTTGAAGTCATTTACATTTAATTGAATATAAATGCAGATAAGAACTGGCTGTTTGAAATCCCACGTAGGTAGATGGTAACTGTATTTGAACAAAAACATTAAACCTATTAAAGTCGTTAACCGTTGATAGATAGAGCTTTAAAATAAAAGAGAGTTCCCATGCGAAACTTTGCTGTTAGAAAGAGAGGAATAGATCCATTTACGATACCAAAACACGTAGGCAGGTATTTGCCATTGACTACATTTCTACATCATTAGTTTTTGTATATAAAATATTATA